CCAAACAGGTGAAATGTGAAAGCGGGTTTTGCAGGAATTAATAGAGCGAGCTTCATCCTATATTTGCTCTTAGTTGGCATTTTCTGAAGACTTGCGTTGAATTTTGAGAATTTCTGAAAGTGAAACTTTGCAACAATTTTTGCGACTTATTTTAGCCGCTATTTTTCAAAATATTACCACGACGAAACTACATGAACTTCAACAACAATTTTTGAAACAATAAATAGAGCGAACTTAGCTCTATACTTCAGCAAATTTTGGTTTCCTCCACCGTTTGGGTTGAATTTTGAGAATTTCTCAAAAAATGAGTTGCAACGATCTTTCGCGACTAAATTTACCCGCTGTATTTCAAAAGTTCACTAGTCCCAAACAGGTGAAATGTGAAAGCGGGTTTTGCAGGAATTAATAGAGCGAACTTCACCCTATATTTGCCACAAGTTTGCATTTCCTGAAGACTTGCGTTGAATTTTGAGAATTTCTGAAAGTGAAACTTTGCAACAATTTTTGCGACTTATTTTACCCGCTATTTTTCAAAATATTACCACGACGAAACTACATGAACTTCAACAACAATTTTTGAAACAATAAATAGAGCGAACTTTTCCCTATACTTCAGCAAATTTTGGTTTCCTCGACCGTTTCGGTTGAATTTTGAGAATTTCTCAAAAAGAGAGTTGCAACGATCTTCTGCGACTAAATTAACCCGCTGTATTTCAAAAGTTGACTAGTCCCAAACAGGTGAAATGTGAAAGCGGGTTTTGCAGGAATTAATAGAACGAGCTTCACCCTATATTTGCTACAAGTTTGCATTTCCTGAAGACTTGCGTTGAATTTTGAGAATTTCTGAAAGTGAAACTTTGCAACAATTTTTGCGACTTATTTTACCCTCTATTTTCCAAAATATTACCACGACGAAACTACATGAACTTCAACAACAATTTTTGAAAAAATAAATAGAGCGAACTTTCCTTTATACTTCAGCAAATTTTGGTTTCCTCCACCGTTTCGGTTGAATTTTGAGAATTTCTCAAAAAGAGAGTTGCAACGATCTTTTGCTACTAAATTTACCCGCTATATTTCAAAAGTTCACTAGTTCCAAACAGGTGAAATGTGAAAGCGGGTTTTGCAGGAATTAATAGAGCGAGGTTCACCCTATATTTGCTCCAAGTTTGCATTTCCTGAAGACTTGCGTTGAATTTTGAGAATTTCTGAAAATGAAACTTTGCAACAATTTTTGGGACTTATTTTACCCGCTATTTTTCAAAATATTACCACGACGAAACTACATGAACTTCAACAACAATTTTTGAAACAATAAATAGAGCGAACGTTTCTCTATATTTTAGCAAATTTTGGTTGCTTCGACCGTTTGGGTTGAATTTTGAGAATTTCTCAAAAAGAGAGTTGCAACGATCTTTCGCGACTAAATTTACCCGCTGTATTTCAAAAGTTCACTAGTCCCAAACAGGTGAAATGTGAAAGCGGGTTTTGCAGGAATTAATAGAGCGAGCTTCATCCTATATTTGCTATTAGTTGGCATTTCCTGAAGACTTGCGTCGAATTTTGAGAATTTCTGAAAGTGAGACTTTGCAACAATTTTTGCGACTAATTTTACCCGCTATTTTTCAAAATAATGCCACGACGAAACTACATGAACTTCAACAACAATTTTTGAAAAAATAAATAGAGCGAACTTTCCTTTATACTTCAGCAAATTTTGGTTTCCTCCACCGTTTCGGTTGAATTTTGAGAATTTCTCAAAAAGAGAGTTGCAACGA